CCTAATGCCTACTGTGTACGGAAAGCACTCTGCTAGCAATTCTGGGAGCAGCAGAGGAAGTACAAGCCTGGGTCTCACCCTTAAAGATTACAGTTTTGTTAGGCAAAAAACTAGAGCCTAAGAAAGAATTTATTAGTTATCAAAGCAACATATTAGTAAGTGCAGAGCAAGACATGAGAAATGGAAAAGTTGAAGTCCCAAACACGTGCAAAACAAGGAATTATAGGTAGAATTTAGATGGAAGAACGACTTCTTGGAGAGGGGAATTTTGATCTGAGTCTTTGAGGGAAAGGATGGCCCTGGATAGGCAACGAGGTATCCCAAGTGGGTAGCCCAATAGCACAATACACAGGGAGAAAGTAAAGGGGCTGAGCAAGTTGTATTTTATGTAAGGCAGGAGCTGGGTTAGTTGGTTAGCTAAAGAAGTATTTCTAGGACTTAATAATCAGAAAGCATTTTTTTACTTTATAGCATTTTTTTTTCCTGTGTAAAATCACTGGGTAGACAGTATAACAGTTAAAGAGAAGTTAGACATGTCCCTACTCTCAAGGAGCCTACGTTCCAAATGATTTAGAGTACACACACATAGGAAACAGTAGCTGAAGCTTAACTAAACTAGTAGGTGATAAATGGTAAAGAGGCAGTAAGGAACAGTGGTTATGGTTTGAATCTGTAACATCGAATTAAATAATACTTGCTTTAAAGGTGGTTAGAATAAAATGAAACCATTTTTATGAAGTGCCTAACACTTAATAGGCAAACGATATGTGTTTCTTATCTCTTCCTCCTTCTCTCCCTCTCAATTTTAAGGTAACTTATGCCAACAAAACAAAAGAACAAAAAAACAAAAAAAGAGAGATGCTTGAAGGATGCATGATCAATGCAACTTTTAGAAGAAGTGTGCCTTGTCCTGGGCCTTGAAAGATTTGTGGGGCTTAGTGAGAGAATATTATGAACAAAGACGTGGGAATACAGAATGTGCTTTCGAGAGCTCCAAGAAGCTTTTGTTGATGTTGAGTGGGAGAAGAGGTTTGCCAGGCCGGCTTGAAACCTAGAGGTTGTCTGTGCTTACGTAGCCTTCTCCTTCTGCCTGGATACCACCTTGTACACCGCTCATACTTTGAATAATTATTGACATGTTGTCATGTGTCAGTGCTTTTGGTAAACAGGAATCAGGAGTTGATCAACTTTGAATTCCCCATAGCAAATACCATAATATTTTATACATTGCAAGACCCTCAATACATATTTATTAAGTGAATTAGTAAAACAAACAAATATTTAGGTACATCAGAAACAAGGGCTGTTAAAGATGACATTTTATGCTAATGTTGTATCAAATTATGCAGCACAATGTAGGAGAGAATATTGTAGAGTGGAATAGTGAAATGTCTTGGAGACGGCCAATGCAGTTTTCACCTTGGCTTATTGGTTTATGTACTTTGTGAACTTGGGCAAGTTTTTTCGCAATATGTACTATCTGAGGCCATTTCCTTCTTTCTTCTTTTTTTCTTTTTGAATTTTTATAAAAATTTATTTGAGCCAAACAGAAAATATACCGGAAGCACGATCTCAACAGATTGAGATAAATGCTTCAGAGAATAACAGTTTGCAGGGTTTTTTTTTTTATGCATTTGAGATTAAGGGTGGAATGTAAGGAAGATGACATGAAGGTAAGAGGAAGCAATTTGGGAATGGGAGTAGAGGATAGTTACGAGTATGTGCTCTCTTGAGGGTGGTTAGGGTTTATTTTACTAGGGTTAGGTGTTAGATGCACAAAAACAGTGGACAGGCCTTGCTTAAAGCAAAGATTAACCTTTTACTAAAAAGCTATATACCTGGACATGACTCCCTACCATGACCTGCCCAGTTAGGAATTTATGATCAGATCACCCTGTGAGGTTACTTCCCATAGAACTCCCCTTTTTTTTAATCCACATTACCCACTTTTGATCACAAATAAATTCGAAGGATACATTGATGACCAACCTAGGAAATGTGACCATTTCTCAGGTGTCCACTCTTCTGGCCTTCCTTTCCTCATTTGTTGAATAGCTAGTACCTGCCTCATGAGACTTGTGAAGATTAAATGTAAACTAGCTCAGTGCCTGGCTCCTACTGGGTGCTCACATCAATATTGTTAATAATCATAATAATCATAACAAATTATACTTGTTATTTTTAATTCACATTGAAACCTTGATATACATATTTTGAATGGCAAAATTAACTCTTTCAAAATATTTAGCAAAAAAGCAAAATAATAGACAGTGTTATTCTACAATACTTCATTGTTGACCCTGCTATATTAAGTTTAAAACCCTGTTATGTCAAAATTTCAGTTTTGGAAATAAAGACCTGTGACACAGTCTAAGGAGAATGCATTTTAGGCCCGATTCTCTGCAGTAGGAGTGCAAGGAGTGTTTTTTCAGCACCTGCCTGGGGCTCTTCTGGGCCCCATACAAACTTGATTTCCTTGATCCTCGCAGTAATTCAAAAATTGTTGGCCATAACTTTTTATCCCCATTTTGCAGCAGCTGAGGAAACGAAGGCTCAGGTGACAAGATTAGTGAGTGTGAAAGTCATTTATAATAATGATAGAAAATAATAGAGTAAAGTTAAATTTTGAGTCAGTATCTACAACAGCTAGGAAGATAAAGTAGAATCAATATGAACACTTGGAAAGGATTAGTGAAAAATGAGACTTCCCATCTAAAGTGTGAATGTCGTCTCATTCATCTTTCAGCCTGTTAACTACGAAAAGTGTAAGTTTCATTTTTCAAAGGCTGCATTTTGCTGTTCGTGATTTTCACTGAAAACTTACCAACTTCAATATTCTAGTGTTCCAAAGATATGACTTATGACACTTTAGCAGTTAGTTGTCTGTCAAATGTTTTTTAAGCCTTTACAAGGCAGGCATGTTGTGTAATAAATGCCGACCTAAAAATGGACATTGTTTTGACTTGAAGGATTCATTTTAGTGTTTAAAAAGCTCTATAGTGTGATGTAAAACAGCAGCTTTGATTTCCACACACCTGCACTCAAACTGTGGAGTCAGCTTTTAGAACCTCACTTTATTTCCACATCAGTTATCAAGTTCTGCATATTCTTTCATCCTTATTGCATTTCAAAGCAAATGTCATTTCCTCCTTGAAGCCTGCCTTGATGTCACCCTCTGATGTGTAGTTTCTTCTACGGTGGGGTACCCCTGGTACATGGCATTTAATCGCAATTAGACTCATTTAGCCCACTACTGAGTGTGATTTTTTAAAGTTTAAAAACAAATATCTCTATTCCATTATGAGACACTGACCGTATCTTATTTATCAATATATTCTTACCACCTACCAAAGTACCTGGCACATTGTAGGTACTTTGCTTCATGATTTAGTGAGAAGAATTGCTTTGATTATGGTGGAACCCCATTTTTGAGACCAGAGATAACACCTCTTTGTAATATTCAAAGACTAAATTGAGAAAAGAAGAAAGAAAAAGCCAAATATTACAATAATCTTGAAATTATGTAGCTTCTGTAGGCTTTGTTATTCTTGGCCTGCTAAAAAGTGACTCAAGGTTAAACTAGAATCGTTTACTTCACAAATGATCACTCCCCTTTCAGTGTTAATAGATTTTTGTTGGTAGTTTTATTTTAAAAGACCATGATAAACTTAACTGGATAAGGATCAAATGAATGCCCCCAACTGAGATCTGTCCCTGACTTTGTATGTTTAGTGAACTTTCTTCCCCCTGGTTACCATTGTGAGGGATTGTAGGTTTTAAAATTCAAAGTAGGGAACTCTAGAGTTTGTAGAGTGGGTAGTGTTCCTCTTTTTTTTTTGAGGCATTTGAGATCACCATGCATATAAAACATACCCAAGAAAAAGCAGTCAAGGGCACCCTGCCTAATACCATCTAGATAATGAAATGGAAAGTTTGTGTCTGAGTTGCTGAGCATCTTCCATTTGCCTTGTGATGACAACAATCATGCTGTAATCTAGAAATTACGAGGCGGTCCCCTCATGCTGAAGGCAGTGGGGCCCTTCCTCGTGTCAAGGTTGAAGAGCACTGAGGAGGCGCTTATTAAAGTGTCGGTTCAGGAGGGAGTTTATAATGACAAAAGCTCAGATTAGCTTTACTATTGCAGTACCTTTTTATCATTTATGAGTGTTTGTTTTCATCTTTATTTAAACTTTATTGAAAGTGTTCTTGTTAGCAAGCAATGTTTAGTTGTGACCCTCCTCCAACTCCTTAAAACAGAATACAGTTTTTAGTTACTGTAAGAAAAAAAAAGCAAAATGGTCATTAAAAATTTGAGATTGCTTTGAGCAGTGATTATTGTTTAAATGTTTTTAATGGACTGAAATGTGCTAAATTAGACCTGTGCTTTTTAAAACCATAAGCATTTGAGATTCATATATTGCAGTTTAATACTTAACATTATTATTTAGGTTGATCGTTCAGGTAATAGTTAACAGGAATATTTAAATGTGTAACCTCAAGGATAGCTGAAAGTTCCATAATACAAAACTTAGCTGTTTAGGACATGAAATACATATCTGTATATTAGAAAACTTTTACTCAAACATGTAAATTAACACTTTTTGTCCAACTCTAACTTCAGGATTATTTTTTGTGCCTCATAAAATACATTCCAGTTGACTCATGCATCAATTTTTTGAGTAGCATAAGTAAATTTAGTTCATCTGCCTATTTGTATGCTTTAAATAGAGCAATGTAAACAGCTTCTTATCTTCCATATGTTGAAATGTTTTAGTCAAGTAAAGACAAAACTGCCTAGTCAACAAAGATGGCATTGAATTGCACTGTTTTGGAAAAAAAAGTAAGTGAACTAGATGCCTGTTAATCTGGCTCTTTAAATATCATAAACAAAAGTATCAGAATGTGTTTCCAAGGACAAAGGCGGAGTTTTCCGGGCTTTGATTGGTTGCTGCCTTGTCCTGTCCCACAGCCATCCTTAATTGGCTTTGGGTAGATTGGGATCACATAAGCAGGGTGACATTTATTGCTTTCCTAGTTGTTTCTTTGCACTGAGGCCTGAGATTCCCAAGGAGCAACTGTAAAAGATTTCTTCCCTTTTGCCCCTGATCTCCGAGAGGGGCTTATTCTAAGAAGAGCAGGCATGAGTCTCAGTGCGAGAAGAGTCACTCTGCCTGCAATAACGCCAATAGTTCTACAGAAAAGGGTATGTGGCTGCTTTTGCCTTTTTTTTTTTTTCCTTTTTCTGGCTGTTTTTTTTTCCCCGTTACTGTGTTTATTAATATGTTAGAACCTTTGGTTACATATCCTGAGAGAGACTATAATTCATTGAGGCTACAGGTAATTAAAGGATATATTATTGGAATTAGACTAGGAAAAAAAAAAAACCATGCTGCGCCCGAACATCTCTGTCGTGAAAAAGCTCCACCGAAAAGCAGTTTGGTCTCGATTTCAGGGCATTGTGATTGAGAGACTGTATTGAAGCTTTTTCTTTTCTTTTCTTTTCTTTTTTTTTCCCTTCTGCTGTAACTTCAGGCCTCTTTGCCTTTAGTTCAACAGGAAATCTGCTAGCTATTATGTTTTATATCGTTTACTGAGGAACATTTTGTTTGTTTGTTTCTCTATAATTTATAACACATCCATCTTCATTGTTGAACGAACTATATAATTGTTTTACTGTTTAAACATATGGCACTAGTTTATTATCCTCTGGCTTCTACCCATTTCTATCGAGTTTCTCCCAATTTGTTTAAGAAAAACTTTCCATTAAATTTCCCTGTGAAAGGATTTTCTGTTAATTATTAATGCAGCCATTCCTGTGCATGAAAATATTTTATTTATTAGTTTTTTTGTAAAGATTATTTTTATATCTTACTTGCAGTAGTGTATTTTATAAGATAATAAACGCACCATGTAATGAAGCCTTTAAGTAAAACTGAATATACTAAATTTCTCTTGTGCATACACTAAATGACAGCATTATATTAAACTCTTTCAAGAATCAAAACTGCTGCATAGAAAAAGAAAGCACCAAAACATATTTTTGGCAACATTCTTTCTAAATGGTTTTGGTGACACTAGACACTGTAATGTTTATTTCCATACCTGACTTTCATAGTTAACTGTTAACTATTATTGTAGTCCATTAAGTTTAAAGGTCATGGTTAAATTTATTTGAAAACAAACTCTAACAATTTAAGGTGTTTTTTTTTTGTTTTGTTTTGTTGTTCGTTTGTTTTAAGTGTTTCTTCTTTATTGTTTTTAATTTTTAGATTTTAAAATTTTCTTATACAGTCCACCATTTATTCACTAGGGACAGTTTGCTTGGCACTGGAATAGTATATGGTAATTTTGCCAAGATTTGTCTTTTATCTTGCTTGATGCCTTTCTCTCATCTTAAACAAATTTAATTAAAAATATTTTGCTTTGAGCGCGAATCTTTATTTTGATTTAGACTTAGCAGTGCATTAATAATGACCATATAGGTTTCCTGATTCATTGCGAATGTGAAAAGATATATTAACATATATCAAACCTAGATTGTTATGTTTGAGTTCTTCTTTATCTGGTTCATACAGCAGTTTAGATTAACCAAGAAGTGTTCATTGTGTAGTCTTTTTGGACAACATGTTGATGTGATGGAAAGCATACCATCTGGACTCTTCGTTTACTAACTGTGTGAATGACCTTGGGCAAGTCACTTAAACTCTGAGTCATTACTTTCTCACCTGTAAGATAATAGCGGAGAGATTTTCATTAAGTGCTCTCTTCGGTCTTATTTGCATCTATAATTCTGTGAATCAAATAATATAGTTAGTATTTCATAGTTATAGTAACCTATTTATTTTCTTAGAGTATAAAACACTAAAAAAGATGCTATCATTTTCAAGGACTTTGAGCAATTAGTCTAGGGGAAATTGTTATGAGTAAAAAACTTGGCTAGAAAATAGGTTCTAGCACTGACGGGTGAGTAGCAAACCAAGGCTACCGTATTTGCCGGCGTATAAGACGATTTTTTGGCCCTGAAAAATATGCCTCCAAGTGGGGGGTCGTCTTATACGCCAGGTACACTTCAGATAGACTGCCCATAGTGCTTGCCCCGTGCCATAGTGGCCTCCCGATGCCCGCCCACTTCATTCCACATACTGTTCAGGCATCAGCAGCGCTGCTGGGTGTATGCTCGGCTGTTATGCGATTTTGCTGTTATGCGATTTTACCACACTCGCAAAATCGCACACAGCCGACCATATAACAAACTCTGTATTTTGAGTGGAAATGTTAGGGGGTCGTCTTATACGCTGAGTCGTCTTATACGCCGGCAAATACGGTACTCTGGAAAGTTGTGATTACAGTTGATGTTAGTCCTGAGCTGCCACTAGCATATCATTGTGATTTCTGTTGGCCTTTTTATAAGCTTCTTGCCAGGTTTCTGTTATAATAATTACATAAGTCCAAATTCCCTAAGCCCAAATCTGTGTTATTCCCTAACACTGAGTACACGAATTAAATGTTCATATAATTTAGCACATTATGACTTGCAGAAAATACCTGATATTTTGACCCCCAAAGGATCCATTGTCTCTAAGATTGTTCTGAAAATTTTAGTATCTCTTATTTTAGGAATTGGGTATTTTTCTGCCTCAAAAACATCCATATGCTCTGGCTACACCATGGTTCCCCCCCCCTCCCAAATACGAAATTATTCCACACTTGTCATTAACTTATCATTTTCTGTATGCACCATTATTCGATGATCTTACAAATTAGTTACAAGCATTTCTTAGAGTGTTTGGGGGGCAGCTTCTCATTTTCCCAAGAAGGCAGGTACTTTTCCCACACGTTTGGCATAAAGTTTGCTCATCCTGAATGAGTAGCTCTTGCAAAATAATTTGCCAACTAGAATCCTAATCATTTGAAATGCCAACGGTATTCCTGACAATGGGTAGTAGCACTAGGGAGTAAATTTTCAATCAGCCAGTGTATCTGATCTAAATAACCGTTAAAAATCTCCTGAGAATGGTTAGGAACTTGAATTTTAAATATGGCTTTTAACACGGTATGGGCTTTTTTTGTGGCCGATCACATACACTTTGATCTTTGAGGAACAGAGTATTTTGGTAGACTCTCCATCAAGCAAATTGGAAAGAAATTTTTGGCTTCCTTTCATTTTATTTAGAACTGATTTCCTTGATTCTTAGTGAATCAAGGTTCCAGTGAAGGTTTCATAACATCCTCCAGAAATTTCCATCAAAGTTTCTGAATGAATCCTTTATTTTGTAGCATTTTTCTCAGATAACTACTAGGTTATGCCTTTTTTTTTCCCCGTTCAGATGAGAAGACTGAGTTTCTTGGCAGTTGAGTGACTCATGCAAGGTCACCGAGAAGGTCAATGGCAAAGCTAGAAATAGAATCTAGGTCTTGTGACTTCCAGTGTGTTTCTCCTGGATACGTTGTTACCTTCTGAAATTAATAAGTTAATGAAATTGCCTTGTGGTGTGTATAATTGCCATTCAACTTCTAGCCTGGAATTACCTTAGACAAATCCTTTCCTCCTCCACTGTACCTCTGACTCCCCATATGCTCTAGTATTGAAAACGTTTTATTCAGAAAGCAATGGTAAGCAACAAAGTGAGTGAGTGAGAGAGAGAGAGAGAGAGAGAGAGAGAGAGAAAGAGAGAGAGAGAGAGTGTGTGTGTGTGTGTGTGTGTGTGTGTGTGTGTGTGAGAGAGAGACAGAGAGAGATAGACAGAGAATGAGAATGAGAGAGAGAGAATGAGAGGGAGAGACAAGTAGAGAGGGAGAAAGACAATTTATACCCGATGTTCTAGATCATACGTTACATCAAGAAAATATTTTAAGGCCTCGAAGAATTAACAAGACTCAAGCATGGTAAAGAATAAATGAAGTACAGTATAAAATACATATTTTTTTATAGAAAGGCTACAAGATCATAAATCCTGATGTCCATATTCTGATTTTGTGGGTAGTAATCTTTCATGCCTCTATCAGGTTAACATTGTTTTGCAAACTATGCTTACAAGCATTTCTGCATTCTTTATCCATACTACAGTTATAGAGATGTGGATAAACACACAAGATCCTGAAGGGTCTTCTGAAATCTCAGAGAAGAAAGGGATAACTTTTAGGATATATTTTTCTTAATATTCATATCCTTTAGAAAATCTCAAATTCATGAGTATAATATGGAGCAATGCCATTAAGCAAAAGATTCAAGATGTATAGATCCACATCTATACAAGAGAATAGTTTGTTATATTCATTTCCTTCTTCATACAATTAGAATCATTGCTATGTTTTGTTTTTTTATTGATTTTTGTAAAGAATGAAATGGATCATATCACTCTTTTGTTCAGAAACTTTTCAATATGTACAGAATCAGTCCAAACATATGTAACATTCACTGTGCTTCAGGACCTGGAGGCACCTCAGTTTCCCCAGGAGCCTCCTCTCCAGCACATTGTTTTTCTCCCCGTGCTCCATCCAGTGTCTGCTGTTTTCCCCTCTGGACTTCTGCTCCCAATCTTTTGCTCAGTGGCCTGTAGACAACTCCAGGCTCCTGCTTGCTTTTCCAAGGGTTGTTTCTTGTCTGTGCCCCAGCTCAGGCTGTGGTACCATCTTGAAACCTCTTAAGACTCTTTCTCATTTATCTTAATGTTATTCAATATTAGTGGACTTGCCTTTGTTACTCATTCCTCAATTCAGTAACGACTGTCATGTAACATCAATTTTATTATTACCTTTTATGAAATTTAAGTCTTATTAGCTATCCATAGGTGTGTATCTTATGGTTTCTGGCTTTTCAAGTTTGACTTTTAGCCTTCTCTGTGTATCTTGTGTATTTTTTATGTATCTTATACTATTTAGTTTTCAAAGTTTGCCTCTTTTTGTCTTACAACTAGATTTTACAAATTTAAGGGAAAGTCTTTTTAAACAAAGTGCTTTGTCAGTTACAGGCTGAATTTAATTTCATGTAACCAGAAAACTCAAAAGACAGCATATTAAACAGGGAAGAGATTTATTTTTCTTTTACTTTACAAGAAGAGTCGGTCCAAAGCTAATGTAGCAGCCGCTTAATGTCCTGAGGCAACTAAGCTCCTGCTTGCTTTCCATTATATCCTTCTTAGTGTGGTTCCCTTTTCCTTTTATGGGGAGATAAATGCAAATCTGCCGTCAGTCATCCTGTCC